ACCCGGCAGAACGAAAGAAGGAAACTCCGCTTTTCAGTTGTCTTAGGCGATTGTTTTTTGACAAACAATGACCTTTCAGAGGTCAAATTGCTGTCAAGAATATGAATTGGCTGCTTCGCAGCAAATATTAATTGTAAATAGTGCCATAAATTTATTATTGAATCCGAAAGGTGCAGTTGAGTGATTGGCTGAGAAATATCCTTCCTGCTTCTTGTGCTGAAGACCCTGGTTTAAACCCAGCCAGCGTCAGCTTTAAGTGGAGTCTGATCGCTTGGCTCCTCAAATAACCCTCTTATTGAGAGTTAGGCGTATTAAGGACAATGTTTGTATCTTTTAAGCCATTTATTATTACTATTTTGTTTATGTATTGATATATATATACAAAACCACCATAAGAAATAAGGACTCTAATCATAGCGTATCTTTACACTTAAATTCCATAATCATAACATTAACGACATGCACTTCCTTATAATACGGTCCGGCTTCAAATCTACTAATGATAGACGCTGCGAAGAAACCAAATGGATCCACCGCCTAAGAACCCATGTTAACAGCCTTAATAAACACGGTCCGGCTTCAAATCTACTAATGATAGGCGCTGCGAAGAAACCAAACGGATCCACCGCCTAAGAACCCATGTTAACGGCCTCAATAAAGATAGAGGTATTGTTCATGAATATGCCTTTGCTAATAGTTAAGCTTATGTAGCTTCCATAGTTTTATATGTTGAGGATTCTTTTATTAAAGACCATATGAACTTTTTGTTATATCCATATTATTATTTTCTACTTTTAGCCTTTTATTGATCTTGATACATATCACTATATTACATGTTTATATTATAATCCTTGCTATTTATCTGTATACTTGAGAATGACACTCATTACATTCGCTCTATAGTTTCATTGTTATTCTCTTAATTAGACGCCTATTGATAGAAATAACTATCACCTTTATTGTATATATTACTTAGCTTTATGCAATGTAGATCAGTTATGCTGATGAAGTTTTCTGAAGAGGACGAAATATTCGTTTAAATAAAATATATTTATGTCAACATTTTCTTCACTGTTTGTCTCTGGCACACTCTTTATTTTTTCACTACCTCAATGCATTTAAGATTCCAGTTGAAACAATTTACCAACAACAATGTAATTTGAATTGTAACATATCCAATCAAATAATTTTAATTTATTTTCTTGAATTCTAGAACACTTAAGCAGAAGCCTGGCCCAGCATGAAGTGTTTTACCAGGAGATTGAGAGTAGGTTAAAGCAGCATATAGCAACAGTTGAAATGGATAAGGAGACCCGCCTACAGATGTTGCGAGAGCCAGGCACTCTCAGTGAAGAAGGTACATCTCACACTTGTTATCATCATCCTCATAATCTCCAGCTGCTTCTTCACATTATCATCATCATTATTATCATCATTGTCTTTGTGTTTATGTTCCATTCAGGCCCCCATTTTCAAATTTCATTTTGAAAATTTTTTTAGTGACAAAAAAATAATTAAATATAATTTTTTCTGTTAGAGTAATACAAATTTCTTTGATAAGAATTATAAAGATAATAAAAAAATTTTCCTAAATAAGTGGTTATATAGTGTTTTTTTTTATAAAATTTTTAAAATAGAAAAAAAATAATTATTTTAATAATTTTTTTAGGCCCTCCCCCTAGGGCCAAATTAATTTTTATCACTAATTTTGAAAAAAGATTAAAAATACTAATTCAACAGTCAGAATAAATAAATGCATCTTCAAATCAGCACAAATTATTCATTTACAAAATAAAACTAAATTTGTAATTGTTGATCAAAAACTTCGGAAGGTAAAAAATAATATAAAATTTCACCTTAAGGGGGCCTAAGCCAATTCTGCAAAGCCTATGAGCCGGTTCAGTCACCTTCACCGCACTATGCACCGTACAGTGGCAGCACCAGCGGGGTGGCAGGGGGGGCTTAAGCCCCCACCGGACAGGTCAAGCCCCCCCCCCGCCGGACAGAGTTCGTCGGGCAGTCAGACCATAAAACATATAAAAATAGGCCCACACCAAGCCAACACATGTCTGTCACAGTCTGAGAGTGCCATTTTCAGCCATCCAGAGGTTGATATTCTTTTAAAATATCTCATTTGGGAGGAGGAACCCCTCTCAATCCCTTCCTCCAGCTCGAGCCTACGAGCTCTAGTCCCCCTGTCGGACAACGTAGCCCCCCCCCCCCAGAAAATATATCCTAGAGCCGCCACTGGCACCGTAGCCTGGAAAAGCCTAACTTACCCCGCGACGTAAAATCCATAAATCAATTATTCGCCTAGCACCCGTTTAAAGACGTAGGAAAACGCACCTATAATCTTTCAAAAATCCGGTTGGTGTAAAAAAAAAAAATTTTTTTATATGAAAAATTACAATAATATAGATGATCAAGGTGTCATTTTCGAGCTTTTGCCATAATGGATCTCAACGTCATGATTGCGCATGTCACAGGGAAACCAAAAACGGTCATGTCAGGATTCGTTTTCATTTTTGTAAACAACCAAGATGGCGCTGGCAAAGTTGATAGCCACGTTTTTTTTTTCAGCCACAAAAAAAAAATAATTTTACGTGGAAATATGAGGATATAATAACTAAAACACGAAGAAACATTTTTTTATAAAAATTGTTGATATTTTCTTGAATATTTAATGAAAATACATGCACACATTACTGCACATACCGTACGTTTTTTTTAAATTATTGTTAATTATTTAATTAATGACGATAATTAGCGAGCGCTTATGGGACTGAATGGGTTATTAATGAATATATGTTTTTGTTATGGTTAATTGTGTAGAGGTTGCTGTTAGAATTGTTGAAATTAATGAAGAGTGTGACGCATTACAACAAGTTTTGCAGACTGAACTAACAAACAGCACGCAGCTCATTGTTGATGCCTATGATAGGTAAGCAGTGATGTTATGCTTTTTGAAATTTATATTTTATTGCCCTTGCCTCCACCAGATCAACACTGCCCTCTACAGAATGATAAATGATAATAATGATGATGAAACCTTAAAGGGGTCATTCAATATGATACAAACCATGGCCTTTGCTTTTACTTATTATGTTGGTCTAAGTCTGCATTCAATTTGGCCTTGGCCCCCGCTTTGCTCACAATTTTTATTAGCAATCATCAGCTGGAAACAACATCCTGAGTATGTGTAATAAGGGCCCTATCATTATTGGTATATACTTTCTGCAGTCAAAGTATTGTGAGGAAGACATCATCAACACACATCAATATCATAGTCTTGAATGGAATACAAAATATACAATAAAGACTAAAAATCCAATTAGTATAGTATTAATAATTTAGCACATGATATGGCCTGGTTTATGACAATACATTAAATATGAATTATAATAATTGTTAATCATTTGTTTTATAATTAATTTTAACATCTTTTGATAAAAAAAATATACACTTGTGTTTTTATTTTTTGTGCAGGTTCCTGACAACCTCTCTTCCAGAGCCATCGGTTTTGCCAGTCACTGTTCCCATACGCTTCCTTGGAAAGGAGCTGAAATTGAGAAATCAAGTCTTACAACCCATGACAAAGTAATTTAATAATAGCAATTCATACCTTCTTAAAAATAATGAAGGATAATTTCTATAGTGTCAGCATCATGCACTAGAGTACCTATGAAATGTTTTGGGGCAAATAGAAAAATTTACTAGATTGTCACTAGATTATTTTTTTTTTAAAAGAGTGATAATCTAATAATTTTTTCTATGTGCCCTTATGTAGTAAAGTATTGTCATGAGCTATAGGGAGTGGAGTTTATTTAGTCATGAAAAAAATCTTTAAATTTCAGCATTGGCGGTGCCAGATCTTTGCTAGTTAGGGGTCCAAGGTCACAGATAGGGGTTTAAATTCGCCTCAGCCCCACTTTGTTTAGAACAAATGTTAAGAATAAGCACCTCGAGATGCCCAGCACAGCACTCTCAAACCGTAAAATACTTTGTATGGGGATCCAGGGTTTCAAGAAGTGGGTCTTGTGAATCCCCCTTAACCCTAATCCTCCACTGACACCGCCACTGAATTTCAGGATTAGAGTCCAGAACTTGGGATTTGGATGACGAGCAACTTATAATAATAATTTGCAATTGGTATAGCGCCTCCCTTTGAACCAACCACGAGGCACTTGACAACGATGAAAGAAAACGGGAAAGAAATTATACCATGAACCTAGACTCACAGAAATCTTGAAGCCCAACCGAACCAGAACCAACACCACACCGTTTGTCCACAACTTAACCCCACATCACACTTATTTATGAATACTTTATTATTGTAGGGTTGCTGATATTAAAACAGAAGTTATAAAAGAATTAGCTAGAAGATGTGACAATGTCCTGAGCTTCCCAGATGAAGTAAAATTTTTACTTCTTCGGTATGTTATCATTACTTATTTTGCGTTTCCTTTGGTTTATGAGTGTAATCTTAGAGAAGTCAGAGTGATTATTGCTTTTTTTACAATGAACTCTCTCTCAAGGATTGGATAAATGTTATCTGCCTCTGTATCCTGAAGATCATAAACTTTTTTGTGGTAGTAATCTGTAAACTGAGTGACAATCCCCTTGTCTTCAGCCTTGTCCAGAATGTCAAATTTTATTTGACGAAAACATGTGACATGCCTAAATATGGTCATGATGACATCACATCATGACCATATATAGGCACATCATAACTACATAAGGGCATACAACAGTTTTTTTGTCAAAAAAAATTTGATAATCTGACCAGAGCTTAAATATTGCGCGCAGATTTTTAACATCCACATGAATCTTGAATCACACAGGACTGATGGCTTAAGGTCTCTTCTGAAAGATGTTGCCCTATAGTAACTTTCATATTTGAAAGCTGAAACATTAGGAGATCGGTGATAGAATTGAACCAGGGACTTGTTCAATAATCCATGGCACGGTCATTGTATGTTTACACATTGTATAACAGCTAATCTCAGAGATGGACAGCAAAACATTTTTAACAGGCATCAGAAACAAACAGCTGCACACTATTATTAATTATAAATTAACACATGAACATGTGAAGTTGCCAATTTACATACATACCTGTACACTTTACATACATAACTGTACACTTTACATATATAACTATACACTTTACATTTACCTTGAACCTTTAACATTAGCTGTTTGTCCCTCCAAATTCATCATAACAAACTCTTCAGAAACGTATGGGCGAAACTTAAGATGGTGGTCAGACCAACATTTTTCTATGCCAGACTTAAATTTATTAACATTCGAAGCAGCTACAACATCATTAGTGATAGGTAGTGAATTCCAATCATTAACGACCCGGACCGCATATGCACTTTTCCTCACATTAAGATTTGGTTTGGATTTATAGACTTTTAAAGAATGCCCCCTAGTTTTATACATAAACAGTTGACATAAACATACATAACTATACATTTTACATACATAACTATACACTTTACATACATAACTGTAAACTTTACATACATAACTGTACACTTTACATACATAACTGTACACTTTGCATACACACATCTTCACAGTCAGCTTCTTCATCATCCGTACATTTGTTGAAGAAGGCTGTTGAGAGCCTTCACTTCTTCAATGTATGAACTTATGAAGGATGCCACACAACAAATCCAACCTATCAAAATGATAATTGGTCTTATCAATATTTATTTTCCAGTCCATTTACAAAAAACAATGCTGAGATAACAGATGATTTATTGATAGCAATAGCCAATCAAACATCAGCACATCGTGATGTCATAGTGATGTCATTTGAGTGTTGTCCTGTTCTGGAGGTTGATGCTCAGCCAGGTAGTGAGATTGTTATAGTTGGTCCAGTCGTCTTATCCAGGTATTTTCATTCATATCATTCAGTTTTCATTTGTTTTTTCTTTTATTATTTTAATATAGGGTATAATTAACAAATTTATGGAGAAAAAAAATACAAAACCTGGGATAATATGTTTAGTTCAGTTTTATTAAGTTAATTCAGAAAGAAAAAAAACAGAAAAAAAGTTTGTTTATTCATATCAAAAGATCATGTAACTGTAAATTGCTGATGCTCAATTGAGAGTAGACTTGTTTAACAAATGAATCAAAGTATGCACATCATCAGAATAATAACAAAATGTTCATTAAATAAGAATAATTGAATATATGGAGTCCAAATCACTAGCTTTCATTAATCTGTAGATCAGACAGATGATGGAATTAATAGTCAGTGAGGCTAGCCTTGGTTTATCTATTTTTAGGAGGTTGCTATTGCTACTGCAGCACTAGTGTAACATGACCTCTTTCAGTGCCTAGAAATGGTGGCCTCTAGACCTACCACCGGTGTATATTAATGGTGATGTCACAAACTGGTATACTAGGTCTAACACACATTTCTTAATAAGAATGGTAATAACCATGATAATATGTTACCAGTGCATCATGCCAACAAGGTATTTGTTTTGGTGGTAAGTTTTTTGGGCCACCACCTTTACTTGTGTCATCATTGTTAGAGTGTAGTTCTAAGCTACTGTATGAAATTCTACCACATAGGAGATAAGCTGGGAACTATATTTGATAGGTTCTGGAAATTTGTGAGGTATTTATTGATGATTTTTTTTTTCAAATATTTATTGATTGCAATTTGCATTTATGAGTGAGGTCCAGGACATTGTATTAAGTTATCTTTTATTTATGATTGCATGTGTGGTTATGTGTGTGCTTTTTCCTTGAAGCCTAATATTTTTTATCATAGTAAATGATTTAGCAATTTTTGACTTCATTAATGATTTTGTTTTGTACTTTTTCTCTAATTATATAATTTCCTTTGCAAACACCAGTTGGCGTTGTTTCATCAACTTTTTGATGTATTAATTCATTCAAGGCTTCAGTGGAAAGTAACAGTTAACAGAGTTATCAATTATCCCTAAAAGGGTATATTTATCTTATAGTACACAACAGGCTTTTAGTGCATTATCCTAAGAAAGATTGCTCCTACATTAGTCCTATCTACCAAAATAGCATGCTCTTTATTTTGGAATAGATTATATTTTCTTGGTAGTAGAAATGCATGGACACTTCAGTGTCTAAGCCTATACCAGGCACTTGTGCAACATTTTTGATTTGGGAAGGATGTATAGACGAGTGAAGCGTGCATTAGGATGAGGGCCTGTGGCAGTCTAGGGTTCCCAGGTTATTTCCAGGGGCAGAGCCCAACTGCGAATTGGGGGGGAAAAGTAGCATTTTGAGGGTCTTATTTATTGGATATCTGAAACCCATAATTCGTGAAAATTTCCGTTCATTTGGGTGTTGTTGGGACCTGATCTGTAGGCTACATAACATAGGTTTTTGATTATATAGATCAATCTGCAATCACTGGAGCTGATTATTTCTAAAAAATTGTGTACCACTACGGTTAGAGTTGGAAAACGAAATTCAATGATGCATAGCATTTCTTAGTAACTGGCATAGATTTTAGTTTAAAAAAATAGGTTTTAAAAAGTGGACCTTTTGAAATAAGTTGCTTTTGCTACACCACCTCTGCATGTATTTCCAGTGCCTAGGTAGGGACTGGCTAAAATTATGGTATGTATGTGGCTTTTCTTGGCAACTTAGTGATAGCCATTGCACTTCTAAACAATATGCTATGAGAATAACAATATTTATTTTAGCTGCTATCATACCCTTAATAGTTGTACTGTAGCTACCTTTCTACAATTGTAATCTTTTGCAACTTACATCCAGCATATGATAGGCCATGATTACTGCATATGAAATTCATTAAATTTACCTTGAAATGTTAATTTTGAAATTGTTGATAAGTTTATAATTTCTTGTTGCAGTCTGGACAATAAACAGATACACTTGAAATAGTTTGCTACCTACCAACCTTAAACCAACCTACCCATAGGGTGGTTTAATCCAATTATGGGCTCTCCCTACTTGCATCCCATTTTAGTTATCTTTTACTTGTTTTAGTTGATATTCCATGTCAATTATGCACTTTGCAATAAAGATGATATTTTGTTGTTATTGATTTGATGTAATTCTCTACATGTTTATTTGGTAAAACTCATAGTTATACATATGCTATCTAAAATATTTTCATAAAAACATTGCAACCAAATACATTGCGCATATGTTGATCCTGAAGTTGTGTTGAAGTTCAAATACAATTACCTTACTTCAGCAAGCAAGCAAAATTTAGGACATGTTTACATAATAATTAGGTCAAAGGACAAAGTGGTACTTGAAAAACCAAAACGTTAATGTAATGGCATAGGTATTGATCTTGAACTGATATACTTTAAATAAATCTTCAGATAGCTTGTGCTAAATATTTTGTCACATGATCACTATCAGTGGAGGTCACTTTAGACAGTTCAGGGTTGCCATACTGTAGTTGGATAAGGAGTTTGATTATGATTCGATTGGAGTGAAGATGTAGCATGGTGGTATGTGCTGACCATTCCATCTCAGGATCATGAGTTCAGGTCATGCAAAAAGCTATGATTTTATTCATGGCTGTAGCCTTATAATGGTTTGTTGTTCATAAAGCATATAGGGCCATGTAGTAAAAACAGTACTTTTATGTATGGAACAGGTTAATCCAGCATAAGTATTAAATATTAAGTTTAATATTAATTAAAATATTAATTCTAATGTATAATAAACAACAATATAGATAACAGCAATAACCAAAAGAGATCACTTTGAAGTCATAAATATATTTTTGAGCTTATAAGTGTATTTTTAGGAATAATAATGGTAATCATAATACAGATTTTTTTTTTTTTTTTTTTTTTTTTTTTTTGCAAAACAAAATTATAAGCTACCTTCTGAATAATTAAGAAATTAAATGTGACCAGCTCTGGCAAAACCAGCTATTTGTATGAAAAATTGAAAATTGGTGTTTGGTGTTTTGGATTCTACATGAATTCTTCTTTAAAACAGTGTTTATTTCATGGAAATTGGTTGAGTATTAGCGAAGTTATGATATTTAATTCACTGGATTTAGGTCTGCAGTCTCTTTCACCACTCAGTTAGAGTGGTGTACGGTGAGTTATAGATATCAGTCATTTAGGTTTTGAGAAAATAGCTTCTAAAGATTCCAAAATCAATAGTTTTTTCAGATTTGTATTTTAAAAGTAATTTTAATATTCTTTTAGGTTAGATTTAGTGACTGATTTTTTGCAGAGATGTTCTTCAATATATCTTATAAAATTTAAAAACCTGAAAATATTGAAAATTCTGATTCTGGAACGTTTTGGGTGCTTGTGGGAAATTAGAAATTGCGACAAACGATGGGTTTTCAAGAGTCAGTCACAAATAATCATATTCTTAAAACAATAAGATTTAAAAGATTCTGTTTACATTCCAGCCTACAATGCTTAGACATGCATATTTAGTGACAAACCTCATGCTTTCTTGCCTGGACTATCAGGAGAGTTGCCCTCTATCATCAAGGGGATGTGAAGCTAGGCCCTAGCAAGGCAACCTGTTCTAGTTTATAGTCATCTTACAGCAAAAATATTGATAAAGGCTGTTGATGTTAATGTACATACTCCTCCCTGTAATGATAATATTAAACCCAGACTACCAAGGGAAAGATTTTCTAGGCCTCTGACAATGTTTTCAGGTGTCTTTGATCTAGTTACTAGTCAAAAGCTGATATTGTTTTTGTACTTGCCCCACCTGTTTCCTCTACTTCGTACTAATCTCAGAAGAATCCAGGACTCTATCTTGAAAGTATTATTTATATCAAATTACCAGTTGGGTTTGTATTAGCCTTTGTTTCCATAATGAGATTTCCTTTTAATCTTAATACATGTGGATGTTTTGAAGGTATTTTAAAGGCAAATTTCTAAAGGCAAAATAAAGTATCTATATAGACTTAACCAATATAATTAAGTATTAATGTATTTTCTCTGCAGTGATGTACCCAAGAAATGCTATGCCAAGACTTACAACAAGGCTCAGCCTGAGATGACTAACTACTACACTTGTGACCAATGTAAATTTAGTTGTAAGTAGTTTTTATTTTATCATCTTGAAAACCACCATGTTGATTTCTTCAATAGCACTTAGCCATCCTTGAGGAAGAGCGGTATGCCCCTTAGTATCTGGCTCACTCATGAAACTTTGACAGTGTTGATGATGTGGTAGTATTCAAGTTTATCAGTTTTTAATTAATCATCACAATTTAATTATTATTATTATTATTATTATTATTATTATTATTATTATTATTATTATTATTGTTATTATTGTTATTATTATTGTTATTATTATTGTTGTTATCATCATTGTATTTTTATTACTCTTGTTATAATAATAATAATAATACCAAATAAATAATAAACAGTGGTAGTTCCTGTTATTTTTGTTATTAATAATTATAGTTATTGTTTTAGTTATTGTTATTAATACTTATATCATTCCGACTTAGATCTTGAGAATCAGAATCCATAGGGTCCACCATTAATTTAGTATAAGACAAACTCCCAAAAATATATGCAAGCCAACATGATTCAATGTTTCAAATGTTTTTTAGTCATTCATCTTCTGAACCTTGAAGTCTTTGTCACTGGGCACCTATAAAATCAGGCGAAATTATTAACCATTAGAAACGTTGATATAAATTGTGTTTAAAGATTAAATCATTATATTAACACTACTGAAAGCTGAATCAGTTTGTATTTTAATTGTCAGGGGAAGTCACTCATAATGAATTCCCCTGTGGTCAGTACTCAGGATGAAGCTTCAGCTTGGATAAGAGATTAACCTGGTTGATTTGAGATGCTGGATAATCTAGGACTCCCCTGAGGTTAAAATTACCCCATGTATGTATACGTAGTTAGATGTGGTTACAAATTAGTTTTAATGAAGTTTAGTCTATGTACTAGCTAATAAATTAGGCTGTGGATTTGGTGCCCATCTGCTGAACCCAGAATCACATGTCCAGTTCTCTTATTATGAAAAAAAGATGAAATTCTGTCTTAAGTACCAGGCAGAGACTGAGTTAAGGGTCCCCAATGATCAGGTTTCCTTCATTGATCATAAGATTGTCTGTAATGGGTGGTATTTCTTCAGGCTTCCTCAATGTGCTTGAATATACAGTATGAGTTAAAATCCAATTTTACCGTGGGATTTTTTTATTTAACCATCTGATTCATTCTACTGGAGAAATATTGTTAAGGACGTCACTATTTAAACTATTTAATAGACATTGAAATATGTTTCAGCTCCATAGACATAGATATGTTTCAGTTCCATTACCCCCAGTGGTGGCACAATTGGGGGTAAGGTGCAGGGAGCAAGGTTCTCCTATCATGGAGCTCAACACAATTTGTTAGGAAGGAAAAAAATTGTATGTAGATTAGGACACTCTAAAGTCGATTAAAAAAGCCTTTCAATGCCTAAATTGTCAATCTTCTAGGTGCTTTGCCATCCCTAGCCCTGCCTAGTTGCACTTTCTTGTTGACATTCCCCCTGCCATTGGAAATATATTCCCCTCACCCTTCCAATAAAATGAAATCATAAAACACTACAATTGACCTTTTGTAATAATGTAATGTTCATTTTCATCTGCTGCCCCTATATTATGGAATGCCTTACCCACTGACATCCGTTTATCTTCAAATGTTTTTCTTTTCAAGAAAAGGTTCAAAGCGTACCTTTTTTCAATCTCTGATTGACACAAATGTAGATATGTTTTTCTTTTACACTTTCATAAGTTAAATTTATCATGTGCACCTTGAGTAATGTCAACGTCATTAGTGCCACTGAACATTGCATCTGCCGTGGATATTAGCACTTTACAAATTACTATTGATTGATTGAATGTAATTTAATTATTTATGTATTTTATTTTTCAGGGATATGTGAGGTCTGTAGAGAAACTTGTCATAAAAATCACACAACTAAACCAAAGATCATCAACTATACACCAACATGGTAAGTGCATTGATATTTAGCAGGGCTGCCAAGAGGGGAAACTGTAACTGGGGCAAGGGTCGGTGTGGACCCCAGTCACGCCGAAGGCGAAAACATTTTTTTGGGGGCCTGTCAAGCTGGAGGGGCCCATTATTAGTGGACCCATGTTGTTATTGAGGGCCCATGGTAGTAATTATATTTTTGGAAAAAAAAAAAATGCTACCTGCAATTTCTATGGGCCCCCTGGTAAGCTTGGGCCCTGGGGATGGCACTGATATTCAACTCATAGTAGACGTCGTGTTCATAAGATAACTGAAGGTTAGCTTGCATCATTATGTTATTATCATGAGCTGTCAATCTAGGTAGTTGGCTATGATGAGTTTGTACCATAATTCTTTCAATATTATTGCTAGTAATACAAACATAACTTCCAAATTTCCTCCTAGTGTAAATCACAACCTACCCTCTTTTTCCAAACACACTTCAGAACTTTTGGATTCAATTTGTACCAGATTTTGTTGATCATTGTATATTATTTTATACTGTATAATTGTATATGAAAGAGAAATCTAGGGAGTTTCTCAATGAAACATAAGATAACAATTAAAAAAAAAAAATGAATTGTAGCAACTATTGAAGTTCACATTACTTGTGTCCATAGGCAATAAAAAACTTTATTTCATTTTATATCTATCCACTCAAGACCAGGGTATGGTTTCCTGGTAATATGGAAGCAGTTTGACATAGTGGGAACGATCTGGTTGCCCAATGTCGAGGTTGGGGTTTCAATCTAACGTCATGCATTTTGCTTGTAGCCTTGAGCAAGGCACTTTATCTGCGTTGCTTTTCTCCACCCAAAAGTATAAATGGGTACCTGGTAGGGTTGCCTGCTACTGTGCCAATATGACAGCAACACTGAAGCAGGTGGACCCAATGACCAGGAAAAACAAAGTGCTTTGTAACCTAATGGAATGAAAGATAAATAACAAATAAAAAATATGTGAATTATTTGGAATAAATACTGTGCTGAACTGAAGCTAGGAATACTCAACAGGGAACAGAGTAGGGTGCATATTGTGTACAGCTGATTCTGTAAGACTAGGTTATTACTACCACAAAGACTATAGTACTTTGCAGTATACAAAAACGAGAATGTATGTACATATATTTCTTGAATAATTACTAAGAAAACTAATGAAAACAATGATGCTCACATAGTTTGTCTAGTCACGACTGTCATTTCAAACATATAGATTTATTTATAGAAATTGATAAATGTCAGAAGATGTGATGCAGTATGATTCATTAATTACATAGTTATTAAATGTCGTAATAGACCTGAGGCATAATCTATATAATATTATGTCATTCTTAGATAGTGCATAATTCCAAGGCCAGTATGAATCACATTTAATACCCTGGTCATTAAATCAATCACCTATGCAACTCAGCTCCGTGGGGATCACATAATGTTACAACTAGTAATCAGTGCATTGCTATTAGTGCCAGGTACTCGCTTATACTTCTGGAAGAGGGACAACATGGGTGCCTTGCCCAAGACCCTAAACAAGCAGTCAGACACAAGACATGTACCCCCATCTTTTATTTGGAAGAAGCCCACATTTTGAACCATGCACCACAAGTTTGCTCTCAAAAAACACTTTAAAAACTTGAAGACAGCCCACCATGCATGATTAGTGTTTAGGTTTATTTACTTATAAACCTATAGAAGATAAAATATTTGCAACAGTAAAGGTTCTTTTACATTACTATATGTCAGTCAATTTGCTTATTCTCTTGTTGATTTATGTCTTAGTAGAATTGATCATTGGCATTTGTGGTTTTCTGTGCCTAGACACTGTCAAAATTATGTTTATTTTCTATGTCTAAATGTGGGGTGGAATATGTATATTAATGGTGAGACTTGTGTCCTGTTTCAAGCAAAGAATTTTTATGTTGTTAATTTAAAAGTGCGAGTTCTTTGTTCTTAAGAGTGTTTATTGTCAGTGGTGTGTTTCAGTTTGGGCCAACAGACTACCAAGCTGTTGGTGGTGTGTCCCTGTCAAAAGTGTTTTGACTTTATAATAGTAACATAATAATAAACACTTTTAACTTAAATCGACTTGAGCACCACAATGATGTTTTTACTATTAAGGCTGTAAAAGACATGTTTGTAGTACAAAGGATCTGCACAAAATCACACTAGTAAAGTATTCTCAGTCGAATCACTCATGAGATTTTTTTTTTTCTCAAATAGTTGGGATGGTACTGAGAATTCAGTATGAATCATGCCACTAATCTGGTAGAGCAAAACATCACACCTACAAGATTTATTCACTTTAATTGAGGTGTATTTTATCTTTATGCGATTATCATTTAATTATTATTGTTATTTATTCACTGTAATATTCAGCAATAAATCTGTAGGCATCCTTTATTCTTTATAGGTGTTCTAAGTAACTCAATTGAATTGAAATTCTTTAGAATTTATTTATTTAATTCTTCTTCCAACAGCGAAAAATTGCCACTTACAGGTGAGAATAAATTACTAAATAAAAACATATAAATTTATATAAAAAAAATATAAGTATAAAAGTACAATATAGAAGATAAAAAGGCTTTAACTGCCACAGCCACGCCAAAGAGAATAACCACCACCCTAAAAAAAAAATGGAACCTGGATGATGTAATTCTGCATCTATTGTGAATAGTCTCCCTTGTGATTTGGGCTTTATTTTTATTATGTAGAGGGTGCCTTTGGAAAGGTTACTCTGTAATTTAACTGCTGAAATTAAAATTATTGCAAAACAGTTGATATGTCCAAAATCAATATTTTGACAAGTAAAATGGAGTATGTATTTGATTCTGATTAAACTTCATTTGGTTGTTTGTGTTGCTGCCAATTTTGTTGCTTGATGATAGATATTGAGGTTATATAAAGGAAGGGGTAATCATCTGTCAGGAGGAGACAAATCCTAAGGAAGTATATGTATTTTTCAGTTGACTTTATCTGAAACAACATTGCATTAGTCATGTACAGTATATAGTAATTTTTGTAATTTTGAGAATGTACTGTGGTATACATCAACCAAAAAAGGAGCCAACTGACATCTTTAAGTAAATGATTGTAAGGTTGATGAAAGATCTGTCAGTTTAATATGCAGACATGCCAGCCACTCTGATTTTGGCAGGGTTACTCTGATTATTTACATGTAAGCAAAACTCGACATTTCGATTTGGGGTCGAAAATCTCTGCTTTTTATGCATTATGTTATAGCTGACTGAAAAAAATTATGCATTTCCAAATAATAAAATCCTATGATTTAGATAAGAACAAGACCAGTTAATTACATCCTGGACAGTGCTCTGAACTGTATATGAAAAAGTAATTTGTGCTTCATAGTCTTGATTTAGAAGAAAAACCAATTTTATTGACCAAATCAAAGATAATAAATAGCAGAAAATAGAGCAGCTTTCCAATATAGTGGAACATCCGTTCAAAATGCATTGTGGCTACATGGAGAGCAATTTTACCTCATCCACGTGGCGGCGCTATCCATCAATAAAAAGGCGCTGCTCAGGTTTGTTTGTTTCCTGTAGTTTCTCCACTTAGTCCAATGGTCAAAATTTACCCTGCTCTCAGGAGGGCGGATGTTCCATCACCTTTAATGTAAATACACGGAACAGCTCATTCTTCTGCTATTTAAGTTCTTTGGCCAAACCAGTGTTGCACTGCACTCTGAACTCTATACGAAAAAGTAATTAGTGCTCCACTGTCTACTGATTTTGAAAAAATAAAAAAAGTTGGTACCATATAGGAAAAAATTTAACATACTCCACTGACATTGCAAAAACTCAGGACTCAAAAGGTTTTCAGACTCCTCTTTTTGGCCTTGTAAGGTTGGTAAGTCTGTACACTGTCTAGAAATGTATCCTCTATTGAGTGAGAGGGAGAAAAAGAGGAATACTATATTAAGTGTAAATCTTTAGCTCTATTTATGGTGTAAGAATCTCTGCTGGCTAAATTTATATTAAAAGCTTATATCCTTTCATGTGGGAAAACCTAAAAAAACAAAAATTAGCTTTTATTCAATGGAAATTGTATCGTGTGTCCTTGTTGATTTTATCAGGGAGATGTAAAATCACTTGACAGTGGAGGACATCCAGGCAAGTTAGCAGCCTTTCTCTTCAACTTATTCAGACTTTACTATGGGATGGTATTTATAAATGATGTATTTCTCGCTTGAAACTACAAAAATATATTACAATAATATGAAAATTCTCCTAAGAGGTTAGTTATTAAGACACTGCCCTCGATCAAAATTAATCAAGTCTGAAAGCTTTCGTTATACTCTATTTATTACAAAGAGGTCTGTGATATGTTACTCAGTGATATCAGTTACTGCTAAATATAATCATGAAAGCATTTTCTGACAATTCTGTAGCTAGAATTAAAAGTATTTAAAATTTGTAAATTATCAAATTATAATCAAAATCACATGCTACTCTAGAATAGAGTGGCATTGGAATTATTTCACTAAAGAACATTGGAATTGAATAATTAAAATACCTGATTAGCAAGTGTTAATGAAGGGTGCATCAGCAGTTATTTAGCTAGGGTATCAGGGTCCCTTTCAAAAGTCAGGACTGGAACTACTCAACCTTATACTTAACTAAAATGCACTTGCTAAAAAGGCATGAATATGCAAAAATATTTTTTTTTAATTCAATTTTTTCATAGAAAAGTAACAATCTGAATCAGTTTCAAATGCATTTTTCATGGCTTTGCATTTGTTGTCGCTGGATATATCGTAGTAAAAATTTGTAAAACTCAAAATGATTAAAAGCTGCTGTTTGATAATCCTTGGCCCATTGACCGGAGATAGAACAATAATTGAAATCAATGTCGAATTAGTTTGGTTTTGCACATCTATGCTGAAAATAAATGTCTACAGTACAAATGGCATGTTCTTGGCAACTCCTGGATGCTGCTTTTACATTTATCAAATTGCAGGCCCTGC